ATAAACTCTCTAGTTAGTTTGCATTTGCGTTGCTTCTGCTCTCTACAGGGGGGGGGGGGTGCGGTGAGACCACCCGGGAGCTAGGGGCAACGAAAATACAGCTGCTAAGTGTACTTAGCCGGCCCAAACCCTCAAACTCCAAACACAAATCTCATGCTTTCAAGCCCAAAGCCTCGAGCTAGAATCTTCAAACCAGCATCCCAGCCCTGGCGAAGCACTGCAAGGCCCAAAACCTTCAACTTCATAGCTTAAACCCGACATCCCACGACGTTCATTTTCGCTCAGCAAAACCACACCAACAAAAAAAAACTAATGCCAAAGATAAAACAATGACGAAAGAGAAACCCCGGAAACAGTAGAGGATGAGCAGGATGCCTCCCACAAGAACTGACATAAAGCAGAAATCACCGCTTTTTCCTGAATAAAACTGCTATTTGGCACTAGCCCCTTTTAAAGACTACAAAGGCATGGCAGCACCGAAGCCCCACAAACCCAAGCCCCGACCGAAATCCAAAAGGCAGTTTTATCCGGAAAACTCTAAAGACTTGCTGCCGGACAATCAAGCCATCAAACGCAAAAACCATGTTTTCGCTGTGGCAAAACCACCAAAAACACCAGTTCCAAACATAAAACAATAACGAAAGCAAGGCCCGAAAATTTTCGAGGTTGCGCAATCATATCTCCCAAAAAAAAAACTAATAATTCAGAAATTCTCGTTTTACCTCGGTAAAACTACCATTTTGCCGTGAAAAGCACCCCTGCTAGCGCCAGGTCGTTTCGCGTGGCGTTACCTAGTTTTAGGGTTTAAGGTTTAAGTTTAAGGTTTAGGGTTTCGGCTTTAGGGGGTCAGGGTTATAGCACTGCTGCTCATGTAGGGGTTTGAGAGATGAGTGCTTACGAGGGTCTGATAAGGGTCTTAACTTTGCCAGCTACAGGCCGAACAGTTCTAAAGCCTTCAACAAAAATGCGATGCACATCAGCAAAACTGGCTTAATCAAGCCCCAGTACGAAACTTGCCAATGCAAATCGCCACACACAGAGAGTTCACTATACTCTAAAAGCATCCAATGCACAGGCCGGCAATCTGCCAAATGCGAACCAGCACAGACAGCTACGAAGATATGGACAGCTTGCAGAAACAGGACTCTTACCAACAGTAGAACAATGTGGAATGTCAAGGTTTAGGGAGGTAGGGTCTGGCCTCAAAAAGTCAAAACCCAAACTGTACAGCATCAGCGCACCTGAAGCCAAAAGCCCTAAACCCCAAGCCCTCAAGCCCCGCTAACAGCATCGCAGAATCCTTACTGGACACTGGACCCTCTAAGAAACGGTAAAGCGGACGTAACAACAAACTAACCCTGTAGAACCCTTAGTAGTAACCCGTATAGAAACCAAAGTAAACATCTTATGTGAGATAGCAACCTAATAGTCCTCTATACTAAGTGTAAAGAGAACATTCACGAACTCTTTTCGGAGCCCTAATAAATAATCACCTTATGTTTCCTAGAGACCCGAATAGCGAGCTTTACAACAAAGGAGACTGAACACCCACTTAGCCTTAGAGAAATCTTAGCGAAATCCAAACAACTAGTAACCCTTGTAGTAACCTTCCAGTACGTAGCAACCCTGAAGTACCCTAAACCCCAAACCCTCCAAGATGGAAAAATCCGTTCCGAGCTTCGGGAAGATGCATCTCCAGAAGGACCTCTTTTCCCGAAGGGCTCGCTTGCCTCGGGCTGTTTGAGGCTGATCCCAAACTCCAAACTTGAACTCCAAAGCCCCTCTTGTACCCCTTGAAAAAAAACCCTTCAGAAACCCTTAAAGGAATCCTTAAAGGGAACCCTTAAAATTAACCCATCCTTTGTGGTCGATCTTATACCCTTCAGGGGACCCCTTGACGGAACCCCTTCAGAAACCCTTAAAGGAATCCTTAAAGGGAACCCTTAAAATTAACCCATCCCTAAACCCTAAACCCTAAACCCTAAACTTTGTGGTCGAGGATCAGGATGCAAGCAAACTTCTCCCCCATCCGGGCCAGACCCAGCCATGGGAAGTTGGGCAGAAGGCAGTCGGGGCTCATCTTCACCGGCTGCCTCGGTTCCGGTTCATAGGGTTGTAGGGTTTTTGGGGCTTTGGGGGTTTAGGGTTTAGGCTTTGGGGGTTGAGGGCGAAGGCCAGCAAAAAAGGGCGAGAGATGGATGCCTTTAGGGTTTAGGGGTTTAGGGGGTAGGGGTTTAGGGGTTTAGGGGTTAGGGGGTTTAGGGGTTAGGGCTTTAGGGCCAGGGCAGGGGGCCGTGCCAAGCACCGGAAATCCTAAGCTAAATGCCTGACTTTAGAAGCCCTGAGAATCACCTTATGTTACCTAGAAACCCCAATAGTGAGCTTTACACCAAAGGAGACTGTACCCAAAGGCATACGGCGCACTCCCGAATCCCTATGCGAGGACTTCTTGAAGGCTCCAAAACCCTAAACCCCAAACCTCCTGCACCGAGACCCTGTACCCTAAACCAGATACCCTAAACCTATACCCTTTTCCCTAAACGGTTGCACCCGGCTACAGGATCCGCACCACGTCCACACCCATGCCACCACAGGCTCGCCCCGAGTAGGGCGATAGGATCGCCAAGTCCTCTCGAGTTTAGGGTTCAGGGTTTAGGGTTTAGGGTATAGGGTAAAGGGTTTGGGGTTTAAGAAATTTCTATAGGTGTTCTAGGGGTTTCGGGCTTGTGGTCTAGGGTTGTTGGTTTCGGGTTTATGCCTTCCGGTTTGGGATTTGGGGTTTGGGGAAGGACTCGCTTCGGGCCTGTGTAAACGCTTTATATGTCCCGTTCTGTAGCTATCCGGAAGCCCAAAGCCATGAATCTGAGCAAGCAAGATACGACTCGACACCCGACCCTAGGACAGCTCTGCTCACAACTCTCCAACGTATCCTGGCATCGCCTCCTCAACCCCTGAATCGCAAAACCCGAACCATGAAGCTTAAAAAGCTTGACATATATGAAACCAAAACGTCCTAAGCATGTTCACGCTAAAAACTGCATTCTGAAACCATAGACCCGTAGAAACCCCTATATAACCTGTATAGGATGCTTCTGGCAACCCTATGGAACCTTTGAGCTGCTTATAACCCTCAACCCCCCTACGGTTTAGGTTTAGGGTTTAGGGCTTCGGGCTGTTAGGGTTTAGGGTTTAGGGTTTTTCGCGTTTAGGGCTCTTAAATCCTAAGCCTAAAGCCCAAAGCCCTAAATCGCTAGACCCTGAACTGCCGAACTATCGACACGCCCCTACACCCTTGCCGAAACCTTTATAGAACCCTGCGAGCTTTTTTTTTCAACCCAGATGGAGACCCATATAGTTCGAACCCCCTATCATGCCAAACTGCTAGAGTATACGACCCGTTTCGAATCACAGAACCCTTATAGAAACCCTTAAGCCTTGAAGAACCCGTGTTGAAAACCTGAAAAGCAAACCCGCAAACCCGATTAACCCTCCGCCCTAAACAGCTAAACGCCAGACCCTATGAGCCCTATGGAAACTCTGAAAAGGGCCTTCAGAACCCTACACCCTTACAGAACTCTTGTAGAACCCCCTTAACAAAGGTAGAAACCCGTAAAGAACGCTTACACAAACCCTAAGCCCTAAACCGCTCAACCCTCAAGCCTAAGCCCTAAACCCCTAAGCCCTAAACCCCTAAGCCCTAAACACTAAGCCCTAAGCCCTAAACCCAAAGCCCTAAACCCTAAGCCCTAAACCTAAACCCAAACCCCTAAACCCTAAATAAACCTAAACTCCCTTAGAAACAGGGGCCTTCAGGGTTTAGGGTTTAGGGTTTAGGGTTTAGGGTTTAGGGTTTAGGGTTTAGGGTTTAGGGGCCTTCAGGGTGGCCAGGAGCCCGAAGGGAGGCAATCTTCGGCTCGGGGCGCCCAGTGCGAGGCTCCGGAACTCCCCCTCGAAACCGATCTCCAAGAGCTCCTGAGTTTGGGGCTTTAGGGTTTTAGGGTTTTAGGGTCTTTTAGGGCTTTAGGGTTTTAGGGTTTAGGGTTTAGGGTTTAGGGTTTAGGGTTTAGGGTTTGGGGTTTGGGGCTCAGGGTTTGGGGTATAGGGTTTAGGCTTTAGGGCTCAGAGGGTGAAGGTTCAAGGGTTAAGAGAAGAGGGCTATAGGGGTGACTGTAGGGTTTGCGGTTTAAGGTTTAGGGTTGTTTCTAAAGGTAACCATAGGGTAGCTATAGGGTCACAGAGTGACGAATTATGAGGTATTGGGCCGTTTGGGGTTTAGGGTTTAGGGTCCCAAGAGCTCCTTCTTTGAGCTTCTTTGAGGGGTTTCGGGCTCTAGCTAGGGCTCTTAGTCTATACGGCTCGGGTTGAGAATGTAGGGTTTAGGGTTCTATACTCGAAACCGATCTCCGCGAACTCCCAAAAAGATGCCTGGAAGGGTAATGATAGGGTAACTCTTGCGCTTAGGAATTGGGATTTATAACAATATACTCTAAGGGCTCTATTACAAAACCCAAGAGCTGCTTAACAGCTTCTTTTAAGGTTTAGCGTTTGGGCCTAGGGTTTGAGTATCCCCAAGAGCCCCTTTTGGGCAGGTTAGGGCTCTATGACTCTCCGGGTTTCGGGTCTGGGCTTCTTCAGGTCTCGAACAGCTTGCCTCCAGCACTAAGGCGTCTTGAGGGAAACTCTAAACCCTAAACCGAAACCCTAAACCCTAACCCTAAACCGAAACCCTAAACCCCACACCCTAAACCGAAACCCTAAACCCTAAACCCTAAACCAAAACCCTAAACCCTACACCCTAAACCGACCCTCAGGGGTTTGGGATTTGGGCTTCGGGAGGCTGTAGGGTTGAGGATGGTCGAAGGGTTCAGGGCTCCAATCCACCGGAGTCTCATCAAACACCCACTCAGCTTACAAAGTACCCATGGGCCCCATAGTAGTTCGTTTTTGGGGTTACCTTATAGGATTCTATATATGAACCCAAAAAGGAACTACTTTAGGGCCTGATCATCCACATGTTAGGGTCTGGACCGAGGCATAGCTAAGTTTAGGGTCGAGGGTTTAGAGTTAAGGGTTCAGGGTTGAGGGTTGCGAATACCCGGGAGTCCCATGGCTAATTCGCCATCAATCAAGCGGACAAAGGCACTCGCCCAGCGACACCAACAACAACTAGACAGTGGCGCTGCAAGGGGCCATCAGGGACACAAGACAAGCTGCTGCTAACCCCTAAACCCTAAATCCTCACCCCTCCTCCTGGAATCATGCTAAATGCAGCCTAGTCTCACCGTAGATAAGGATAGGGCGCGGCCGGCCGTTGCGAAACCTGTAGAACGTGGACCAGCTATGGCGATGTTCGCGTCGAGGGGTCACGAGTCAGGACATTCGGAACTAGTATGCCTTAACCCTCAAACCTGAATCGTACGTAGATCTGAGGGTTTGAGCTTCAAGACTTTCGGGAAGGGTGTGAGGTTCAGGGTTGCCCCCGTCACTAATGCCCCTAGGTAGTAGGATGCCTAATGCAGCATAGAGCCCCAAGCCCTAAAGGCCCTGAACCCCTATCGGCACATAAAGAGGCCCCAAGCCCTTACTCAAGCTTCGGCAGGCTGCCTGCACCCTCAGCCCTCGACTCTCAAACTAAAGGGATATGGAGCATGTTCTCAATCTGCAAGGGTTTAAACAATCTCTGCCAGCAAGCGGTTTAAGAATCCTACAACGACCATCTTTCAGAACCCGGAACCCTAAATAAGCACCCTGTTCGAAACCTTCGCGGTTGAATAGCAATAAGCCGAACAGAAACCAAAGTGAGGAACTCGCCCACCCTTTCACAAGTCCTACACCCCATTGGCCCCTACAAGACTCCTGTACCTAGACCCTACTTGGAGGTTCATGGGTCGTTAGAAATGGAGTTATAAGTCCCCTCATATGGGTTATAACTATCGTTACCTTGCTCATAGCCCTACTTATCACTACCCATGAACCTCCAAGTAGGGTTTAGGATCCCTAAACCCTAAACCCTAAACCCTAAACCCTAAACCCTAAACCCTATACCCTACTTGTAAAACTACCCATGAACCTCCAA